GGCAACGGCGGTGGAGACGGCAGCAGCTACGGCGGCCGTCGTAGGGGCCGGTGCTACCGGTGCAAGAGGCGAGGGCACCAGTCGTTCTCGTGCACTATCCCCATCGCCGACTTCATGACCCAGTGCGAGAACTGCGACGGGTATGGACACGAAGTGTTCCGTGTTTCTCGTAGGCGTTCGCGCCCACATGTTCAGTATTTCCTGATAGTCATTCGGTTGAAACCCTCATTGATTGCGGCTACGTGGTGCGGTCTCTAGGTTGCGCAATGTGCAGGAATATGGGATACTGTTGGAACCGCTGAAGGTAGGAGGAAAAATTGGGACACCAGTGTTGTACTCCACGAGAATAGAGGATTGCCGAAAAAATGCATGCCGGGTATGTGTCGCTCAGAAAATGTTGGATGATTNAATTGGGACACCAGTGTTGTACTCCACGAGAATAGAGGATTGCCGAAAAAATGCATGCCGGGTATGTGTCGCTCAGAAAATGTTGGATGATTATGATTGCCTTCCGCCCCGGTGCGCTGTATTTCATCAGCGAGGGGGGGGCGATTTCGATGTTTGTCTGATGTTTGTTTGAAGAACAAACAGTAGTGCAGCCGTATTGTAGTTGTTTGAACCAACTCCTCAGGATAGTCTTGCACTTTTACTGCTTGCCAAGCGTTGGGATAGGGCGTTTGATGGAACGGTGAATATTGGTGGGGGTTTTGACCCGGAGGCCGGGTTTCCCCCTGTTGTTTTTTTTTCGTTGGTCTTTTGTCCGTTTGGTATTTTTGGTCACATCCGGCGTGTGAATGCCCACTAAGTGATTAGTTACTAGCGTAAAGAACCAGGGAGGGTGTTCGTGTGTGCATGAGCGGATGAGAATATTCCAACGGGACTGTAGTAAGTGGCCACGCAGAGAGGAATTGATAGTCCCCTGGGTTGGTTTCATGGTTGATCCACGGGACTCGACCCTGCGGGAGTGCTTGCTGTGTCGTGGCACTCTCTCTCTCTCCCGCCGCGTCCTGATCGTGTCTGCTGTCCTAAATACAAGTGATACCATCATCTT